ACACGCACGGGGCGGGCAGTGGAGGCACCACCGTCCGGCACGTATACAGAGAGGTCAGTTTTAAAGAGCCGTGCCCAGCGGGCCAGCGCCGCGCCGTGCCGAGCCACGCCTGGCTTGTGAGTCTGCTATTTTATGCAGTCGTTTTACGGCTTCATTATTCTTGTTCTATTTCCCGCGGCACCGCGCGTCAAGGAGTCCCAGTCTACCCGTCCCGCACCGTTTGGACTCCCGCCGCCACAAAAACCTTTCAAAGGCCCGACCAGGTGAGATCATTTTCCAGTGGTGAATGCGGTCGAATCATAACCAGTCAGGACAACGTAAATGCGCTGACTGATGAGTGTTACCAAAACATGATTAAAACGAATGAGCACGTTCCGGGAGATCGGCCGTTCCGCGCGGCCGCGTCGCGTTGCCCCTTGTTTGTTCGCGGGGAATACTAATTGATCTGATCTCGGCCGTCTCGATCAACACCGCCACGGCAAACACGTCTCGGTGTGGCCCACCACGGCTTGGCTGCCATCAATCGAATTGGCCGCGAGAAAAAAAAATGTTTGCTCACCGGCCGCCTCGTTCGGAAATTTGGAAATACTTTTGAATCTGCGGGGGGGGGGGGAAGGGGCGTCACCCCCGACGGGCACCCGGAGGACCCCTCCCTCCGCAGCGGGAATGAACCCACAGCGCGAAATAACTCATCCTCTATAGGCGCTCGCTACCCCCTCCCCTTCCGACGGCACCGAAATAATGAACCACGGCGATATTCACTGTGTTTCTTCCCCCTTTTTCCGCGGCTCGGTATGGGAATTGCATCACCGCCATCACCCGGTCGCACCGCCTTCCCTGCCGTTGTTTTCATCCGTCGCATAGTTCGGCACCCCCCCACACTAATGACGGAGCTGGGGGCCGAGCCAGGCCTCGTGACAATGGGAATTCCGGCAGCCAAAAGCGGCGAATACTTCATCGGTCGCTTGGAAACGGCGTTCGGCGTTTCGAGTCCTCTAGCTCTTCAGCCGGAAGAAATTCGGTTCGCTTTCGACAACCAGGCGTGCAGGCCCGGACTGGCCCGGGCCGCGGGGGCGCGATCGCGCCCGGGGCCTCGCGCGAAGCGCGGGGCCTTTCGGCCGCGGGCCACGGGGCCTTTCCACCGCGGGGCCTTCTTGGCCGCGGCAAAGTCGCGGTCTTTAACTATTTACGTACTTAAATCAAAGGGGTACCCATTTGAAAATTTCTCAAGATTTCGCAGAATTTTGCGTCAAAATTATGCCGGATTCCGCGAGATTTTGTTGGTATTCCACGAAATTTCTGCCGATTTTACGCATGATTTCGGCAAATCAAGCGCATTTTTTGGCCAACTTTGGTCCCAAAATCGTTGCGGTCAAAGGCAAAATCGTTGTGGTCAACGTCTTCCCGATACAGGGCATGAAAGAGTGGGGTCTTAAGAATACTAGAACGTCGAGGGAGGCCTTTTACGTCAACTAGATTGGACACAGTGGCCGCCCAAAGTCAGCAAAATCAGCAAATTTCCGAGACTCGACCACTTTTTGACCAACTTTGGTCCCAAAATCGTTGCGGTCAAAGGCAAAATTGTTGTGGTCAACGTCTTCACGATACAGGGCATGAAAGAGTGGGGTCTTAAGAATACTAGAACGTCGAGGGAGGCCTTTTACGTCAACTAGATTGGACACAGTGGCCGCCCAAAGTCAGCAAATCAGCAAATTTCCGAGACTCGACCACTTTTTGACCAACTTTGGTCCCAAAATCGTTGCGGTCAAAGGCAAAATCGTTGTGGTCAACGTCTTCCCGATACAGGGCATGAAAGAGTGGGGTCTTAAGAATACTAGAACGTCGAGGGAGGCCTTTTACGTCAACTAGATTGGACACAGTGGCCGCCCAAAGTCAGCAAAATCAGCAAATTTCCGAGACTCGACCACTTTTTGACCAACTTTGGTCCCAAAATCGTTGCGGTCAAAGGCAAAATTGTTGTGGTCAACGTCTTCACGATACAGGGCATGAAAGAGTGGGGTCTTAAGAATACTAGAACGTCGAGGGAGGCCTTTTACGTCAACTAGATTGGACACAGTGGCCGCCCAAAGTCAGCAAATCAGCAAATTTCCGAGACTCGACCACTTTTTGACCAACTTTGGTCCCAAAATCGTTGCGGTCAAAGGCAAAATCGTTGTGGTCAACGTCTTCCCGATACAGGGCATGAAAGAGTAGGGTCATAAGAATTCTAGGGCGTCGAGGGAGGCCTTTTACGTCAACTAGATTGGACACAGTGGCCGCCCAAAGTCACCAAACACGGCTTACCCTCCCCTGGCTAGTAAATTTAAAACAATGTACGCATATCGGAAAAGGGGGCCCTTGACGTCACACTGCGACCGGGGCCCTGACTTAGCCAGTCCGGCCCTGCAGGCGTGGTGTCGAGTTCCACGCTTTCTGTTTTAACGTATCATCTATTTCAAACTTCGTGCGAGGGGGAAAGTGGAATCACATTATAGTGTGCCCCTGCACAACTTTCTCTTCAAACGACTCTGATGCCACGCCAGCGCTCATGTATAACTGTGACGGGGAAAGAAAAGTATAGAGTACAACGACGCACAAAACGAGCAATTTAGAGCCGGCGACCTCGCAGAGCAGCGCGTCGGTTCGCTCCGAGTATAGCATGTGTCCCGCAGAATGAGTCCACGTAAACAAGCAATAACAGCGGGGGCGGCGGGGGCGGTGGGGGCGGCGGCGGGGACGGCTCTCGAGGGGGGCGGTGCCCGGGCCGTGCCCATGCGGTGCCGGTGCCACGGTTTCAATACCGCTGCTTATATCGCCCGCGGGAGAACTCGCACCACGCCACTGCAAAAACAGTGCCGGGGGTCGACATGTCGCAGCGGCCGGATTAGGGAAGAATAAGGACGAATATGGCAGTGTCGCGCCCAAATAATGGCGCTGCACTGGTTGGTCCTCTACACTGCTCCGAGAGGTGAACTTCGAGGGAACTTTGATGAATTTTAGCCAATTTTCGTCACAGCTTCGATAATTTCCGCAAACTTTCACAGAAATCTATGAATTTTGAGGGGTTTTGGTTGCCTCTTAGTTGTTCATGAACGTGGAAGCGTTTGCTTTGCGCCGTTATATCCTTGAGTTAGTAGCAAACATGATGCGGCCAAACGTTAGTACTATCCCTGGCTGCGACCTGGTCCAAGAACTCGTGTCGTAGGTTGCGAGCGAACAGCTTGAGGCGGTTGGCGGAGTGGTGGGGGAGGGGGCTCTCGTACGTCAAGCAGCCGGTCTCTGCGGTGCAATAGAGGTACGCAAGGGGGTGGGGATGGTAATGCTTGCTATTTCTCCTCCCCGCTTTCCTCGTCAGCCTGCCTTGGCCGTGCCTGCGGTCCCGGGGTGACAAGGGGTGGGAGCGCTGGCCGGGCTGACCAGGGCCTAGCCAGGGCCGAGCCGGGCCGGGGTCGCTCTTCGGATTGAAGCCTGGCTGGCGTCCTCGCCTGCGGCGCTTCAGGCTCGAGGGCTGAGCAGCCTGCTTGGAAACAAAGGCAAGGCAAGGATTACGTTATCCAATCAGCATCTGGGAGGCTCTCTCGGTGCCGACACCTATCCGCCTGTCCATCTGGCCGGGCCATCCGTCTGGGCCGGGTCGATGCCGACGTGGCGGCGCGCGCGGTGGCAGCACTGCTGGCAGCCCTGGCAGCCCTGGCAGCGTTCGTGTTCCATTGTGTCCTTGGTTCGAAACAGGAAAAAGCCGAGGCGGCTTGTCCGCCACGGCACCAGGGATGGAAACCTCGCCGCACTGCCGAACGGCACTGCCGGCCGCCACTCGCGGAGTGAGCAGTGGGCCGCGCTACACGAGGAAGGCTTACCACTAGCTTTCCCAAAGCCGCCCCGGCACCAACGGCCAGCCTTTCGAACGAGGAATCTGAAAGTGCCAACGTGTGCGTGATTCGAACCGCATTCGAGGACATGACAGGTGAGTCCGACTCGCGGCGTGCTCCCGAACATAAACACACGGCGTAGCGTAGCGAGTACCCTCGCGAGCGCGCTCTTTGACAACCACTTTTTATTGGCCCGCGTCTGTGGGCAGAGCAGCGGCAGAGCGGCGGCAGAGCGGCGGGGCCTTGCCCGCCTGCACCAGGTTATTGATGGCGGCGACCGTGCCACCCGTCCGGCCGCCCGGTCCGCGTGGCAGGTTCTTTCCGAACCCGTCGCTCCGTCCCTCTCGCACTCATGGGGTCGGGGTGCGAGAGAGACGGATTCGGAATCAGGACCACTGGCCTCGCATGCGCCAATCGGTTTCCACCGCGTCTTTTATTTGCAGTCCCACTGACCCGACCGCGTGCACTGCTACATGGGGGGAAATGCACGAAGGTTGCCCATTGGCGAGCGAGATACATCGCGTAGCTTGCGTGATCGTCCACGGCGTTTTGTTGCATGGTGCTCAATATTAAGTTCTTCGGAATCTTTGCAACGTTTAGTGTGAAGAGCCACGTTGGGGTACATTGCACGGGATGTCACACAGATATTTCTGCCAACAACGAGAATCGGGTTTTCCTTTCCCGGCCGGCGATTGGCGGAGGAAGGTGTAGCATTCCCTGCGAACTGCTCCAAAAGGCGGGCGAAGCGATTCCCGCGCGTCATTCACAATTCATTGGTCCAGTCAAGGAGAATCACATCGAGTGCAATGTGTCACGAATGGCAGCCGAGACAAATGCCGGCGCGCTGCAGTGAGGCAGCAGCCCGACCGGTCGCTCTGTCTCTCTCGCACCCCTGGGGCCGCCCGACGAGAGCGAGAGACAGAGGCACTGTGCAGAAACAGCCCGCTGCGTGAGTGATTATTTGCAGTCTCGCGACGACTTGCTCGCTTTGCCGGTCTCTCTCGCACTCCGCAGTCACAACGATCGATTTGTCGCTCGTTAACTCGGAGACTGAATACCTTTAGCGGAACCGGAAACAGACAAAAGAACACTCGACGAAATGGAAGCAGGAGAAAAGATGCTGCTACTCACATTGTGGAACCACGTGATGCGGTGCTTGGGCGGGTTGGAGTGGATGCTGCACTCGAAGTAGACGTCATCGCCCTCCTTGATGTTGCTGGGGTTCAGCGTGTCGCCGAGGTGGAGCTCCACCACGGGGGGATCTGCAACAGAGAGAGAGAGAGCCACGCGTTGGGAGACGGCGACAGAAAGACTGATCACTTCTTCATCCCGAAATTTGTTGGGCGTCTCAGAAAGAACGTGTTATGAAAGTTTATGCTGCCCTGATGAGTTCCTCGTTTAAGACGTAACGGAACAGCGCTCCCGACCGTAGGTGTTTGCGAAGCGGACCAAAAATGGTAGGTTCGCAAAAAGCGAAAAATGATTTTCCCGTAACGTTGTTACGCTGGCAGGCAATCCCTGAAATAATGGGCATTGTCTCTACCGAGGCACAAAGTCAAACCGGTTTAGGGCGCTACGGGGCGCTACGGGGATCCCCGTCTTTCTGCGAGACGAGCGGCGAGCAAGGCGCGCTTTCAAAGGAGCATCGCGCCTCTCCGTGTGCATTGTTCTTGCACTCACAAAAGTACGACGACTGTCCCACGTTTGCTCTTATTTACCTCTGCCTTACAATGCAGGATCGGGGACTGAGGAGGACAAACAAGCAACCGAGGAAAACAAAAGCCGAAAGCGGAAGGGGTAGGGAAAAAAAGCGCAAGAGAGCGAACCTATAGCTCGTTGCGCCTATTACATCCTCATCTATCATGGGGCCTGGCGGGCTTGCCTGGTGGCCTTGCCTGGCGGGCTTGGGCTGCTGGGGAGGGTCATTTGTCGCAACATCGTAACCAGCTCACGGAGTTTGCGTTCAGGCCTAAGGTGGTGTAGGCACGCCCGTCCTCCCTTTGTTCGGCCTCCTTTGCCTTCTCGCGCTCATCCAGCAGGCTCGGACTGGCCCCCAAAAGGCCCCAACGGATAAGACCGCAAAAGGCCCCCGATCATCATCATGTTTTTACCCTTCATGACCAACTTTGTGAGGCTACCGCTCCCAAACTAGTTGCGGTCAATAGCCTTCCCGATACAGGGCATGAAAGAGAAGGGTCTTAAGAATACTGGGGCGTCGAGGGAAGCCTTTTACGGCAACTAGATTGGACACAGTGGCCACCCAAAGTCAGCAAAATCAGCAAATTTCCGAGATTTGACAACTTTTTGACCAACTTGGTCGGAAAATCGTTGCGGTCAAAGCCAAAATCGTTGTGGTCAACGTCTTCCCGATACAGGGCATGAAAGAGTAGGGCCTTAAGAATACTAGGACGTCAAGGGAAGCCTTTTACAGCGACTCGATTGGACACAGTGGCCGCCCAAAGTCAGCAAAATCAGCAAATTCCCGAAATTCGACTATTTTTTTAGCCAACTTGGTCGGAAAATCGTTGCGGTCAAAGCCAAAATCGTTGTGGTCAACGTCGTCCCGATACAGGGCATGAAAGAGTAGGGTCTTAAGAATACAAGGACGTCGAGGGAAGCCTTTTACAGCGACTAGATTGGACACAGTGGCCGCCCAAAGTCAGCAAAATCATCAAACTCCCGAAATTCGACTATTTTTTAGCCAACTTGGTCGGAAAATCGTTGCGGTCAAAGCCAAAATCCTTGTGGTCAACGTCGTCCCGATACAGGGCATGAAAGAGTAGGGTCTTAAGAATACTATGGCTTCGAGGTAGGCCGTTGGCCGCAACTAGATCGGACGCAGTGGCCGCCCAAAATCAGCGAAAACGGCTACTTTTGGAGATTCAGTCACTCTTTGACCAACTTTGTGACGTTTCTGGTCCCAAACCCGAGGGCCCCGGCAGATTATTCTGCCTGTCTGCCCTGGCCAGCCCGAGCCTGTCATCCAGATAAAGAAACAACAACAAAAAAACAAGGAAAAGGGGGTGGGAGGGGGGAAAAATTAGCGGCGGTGCTTTAGGCCGCCACTCCCCGCCTGATTCCTTTAAATGAGCAACAATTAGCATATTTATCGGAACGAGATCCAAACGCCGAGGCGCAGCTAATGAGGCTGTAAATGATGCCTTGTCTCAAGGCAGACGCGAATGCATTACGAATCAAAAGTGGTAATGAGGGCCTCACGGCACGGCGCCTTTTGCAGACACTCGGCAACGAAAACGGAAGAAGAGAGTGGCTTTTTGTTGCGAATTTTTCGTTCAAGTGGGGGAGGCACTGTTAGTAGGAGGGGGAGGGGGTGGGGGTTGCGTCAACGCGGATGCATCCCACGCTTGCCTGTTTATCATGTTAATACTGGTGCCAAGTTGTTGGGTCTGATTGAGGGCCGGTCCAGGGCCGGTCCAGGAGGCCGGCCGGGGTTGCTGGGCCCCGTCCCGTTATGGGGTCAAGCGCATCGGAACCACTCAGCGCCTCCCAAGGCAAACACAACCTACCAGGGATACGGCCGCCCGGCGTCGCTCTGTCTCTCTCGCACTGGTGGGCCGTCCGGCGCAGGCGCGAGAGGGACGGACGCGCCGTTCGGGACGAGGCAGCCCGGGGCCCTAATCCATATTGGCTTCAATTATTCATAGCGCCGCCACCTATTGAGGCGCTGCCCGGCGTCTGGCCTCTGAATGGGCGAGTAGGGTCGCGGGCCGGCGCCCTGGCCAAGGTCCAGCACGTCACTGCCAGCCTGGAGGCGACGGCCGAAGGCGCAGCGGCGCAGCCCGTCCAGGCCCAGCAGGCAAAGAGTGAGACAAGTGTTCGGGTGAACTTTGCTGGATGCCTCCGATTCGAGCCCCGAAGCGAAAACCCGCCCAGCAGTGTAGGCGACGCGAGCGGGGCTCCTCGGCCGCGACTCCACTGGACGAACTGGCTGGCCATTAGCGTGGAGTAGCCAGCAGCGCCGTCACAATGCAGCCTCCCTTTGACGCGCCGCCACGCCGTCTCTCTCGCACGGGAAGCGGTGCGAGTGCGAGTGAGACAGAGCGAGGGCTGTGCGGAGGCGGCCCGCAGATTGGCCGGGCGGGCGGGCGGCCCGCATGGCGCAGCCAGCAGCACCAGCAGCACACCACGCAAAGGACGAGTACAGTGGCGTGGCGATCCGACCCATTTCCCGCCACGCCGCGCCATTTCTGTTCGAATTTCCGTCTCTCTCGCTCCACATCCCTGCCCCCGTCCCTGTCTCTCTCTCCCTCTCGGTGACCTGACCACCCCCACGCCAGCCGACCGGATCGGCGTCGAGACACTTCTTGTTCCATTCAGACGCCCTCACCGTTCATACCCACAAATCTACCTCGGGCCGCCTCGGCCCGGCCCCACCTTAGCCGACCATAGTTTACGGGGATGTCCATAAATTCTCACATCTGGCAGACCTATTTCGAACGCGCGGGGGGGGGGGACATGGTGTTCCTGGGAGTGAAAACTGCCGCGGGTGTGAGAGAGCCTTTCCGCATGTATGTGTGTGTGTGTGTGTGTTTGGCATGTGTGTGTGTGCGCGCATGGAATCGAAAATAGCGCTCGGGGGAAGTCGTAAGACGTAGGACGGGAAAAGGTCCGGAACTACCCTTAAAGACGCGGAAATGCTAAAAAGGAGGAGTGCCTCCGTTTTGACGCGAGAGTGGTCTGCGCGCCGCGCCACACCACGGCTGCCATCAAAGCGGCGTAAAAGAAAAACAAAATTATGAAAAAAATGTGACGTAAAAATGGAAACGGGAAAAGATTCGGAAAGGACCTTTACAGACAAGTTTAAAACTCGGTCATAGTTTTAATCGAAACAGAGAGCCCGTATGTCATTAGCGACCCACATTAATCTGGGCGGTGCAGCGCGGAGGAGGGGGGAGGGGGGGATGGGGAGGGGGCGAGGGGAGGGGGCGAGGGGAGGGGGCGCACATGAAAACGCGTCAGGGCCGGCCTCAATCAAAGTTTTGCCGCCACTTGTTGTGCAGGGCGTGGCGCGGCGGGGCGGGGTGGGGCGGGGCGTGGTGGGGCGGGGTGGGGTGGGGCGTGGCGGGGCGGGGTCACGTGCCTGCAAGCAGGCCAACGAGGCCAGACGACGCTTGCGGGGAGAAAAAGTTTGGCAGCGAAAGCTGGCGGTGCCGGCGGGGCTGGCGGCGTTAAACGTATGGATCCGTGTCCGAGTCCGGCAGTCTGGCCACCACCCGCTTTTTCCGGACTTGCGTTGTTCCGCCGGAACAAACTCTCTGCTGCCGAGCGATTCCGAAGAGTCGCTCTGTCTCTCTCGCACACCGATGCGATGCCCCACGAGTGCAACAAAGACAGAGCGACGTCTCTTTGGACAGCGCCTGCACTCGGCCGCCTAGGCTGTGCCGCCGCTCGCGCGTGTGTGGCGGGATGGCCTACCCTCTCCATCGCAGGGGCTCGACGAGGCTCCCAGCCTGCTCCTCTGTGTTTGCGATCGAATTTTTTGAGGTGGCTCTCTCTGCGACCTGGCAGAAGCTGCGGGTACGGTAATATTTTTTTAAAATTTTTTTCGATCTTTTTAGAGGTTTTGGTGCTTTTGGTGGGGATTTTGTTCAGCCGGTTGCCCCAGCCCCGGGCACTGAGGTATCCCCTAGGTGCGAGCGTGGCGTACAGCACCGTAATATTGCCCGCCTCCACCGGAAAAGCAAGGCGAAACAGTGATGTTGTGTGCAGCGGCTCCAGACACGCGGGAGAGTCGGAAATAAAAGTGAAAGAAAGACGCCTGGGGCGTATGTGCGGACGTGGGCGTGGCTGGATGTTGCTTTTAAAACTAGCCCACATATAAACACTTTTTCCGCGCGAGCGCCTGGCCGCGGCCTGGCCGTGGCCGAGGCCGGGCGCCGCCACACTGCCGGGCAGAGCTCAGCAAACGTGATGAACGCAGCGCCGCCAACGGGGTCCTCGGAGGGCGATCACGGCACGCCCGGGGACCGGCGCGACGGGACGATTCCAAACACAGCCGTCGTCTCTCTCGCACTCACGGCGCCCGGCGGAGAGTGCGAGAGAGACAGGGCGTTCGGAACGACCAGGCCGCACCACGCCGCGCGGCGATGACCGGACTGGCCTCTCCCTGGCACCGCAGGGCCGCAGGGCGGAGGATTTGCGGAAGGACACCATTCCGAGACGGCCGGGGCACGGCCGGGGGACGCGTGGAGACCGCGTGGGGACGGCGCGAGGACGGTCGGAAAAAGGGAAAGGCAGAGCGAAAGGGCTCGCCCAAGGGCGCCACGGGACTAGGGAGGGCGCGGATATACACTCGAGTCTAATTCCCTCTTATCCCTTCGGAGCGCCGGCAGGCTCACTTCGCGGCCGAGGGCCCGGCCTGGAAGGGCCTGGGAGGGCCTGGAAGGGCCTGGAAGGGCAGACGACCTGCACGACCGAATTAGCAACGCACAAAGAAAGACGCAATCACTCTTCAAATTGTGTGCCAGCAGTTGCCTTTGGGGAGGAGACACTGTACTTTACACTCTCAAACGCCTGCTGAGAAAAGCCGCGGTGTAAAGTGCGGACTAAAGTTTCTCGCCGAATTTACAGTGCCGTCTGCGTCATTCTGCGCGAGGTGCTTTTATTCGAGGCGCGTGCGCGCGAACGACGGCTAGCGGCTTGCTTCCGAACCGCGCTGTCGTCGCCACGTCTCTGTCGCACCCTTGCGGGAAGCAGTGAAGGGAGGGAGAGAGAGAGAGAGAGAGAGAGAGAGAGAGAGAGAGAGAGAGAGAGAGAGAGAGAGAGAGAGAGGCAGGCCGCAGCGAGCAGCCGCCTCTTTTGAAAGACGATCCATCACTGTACTCACGCACGACGTTGAGGGTGAAGCTGTCCTCCAGCCCCACGTTGTCCAAGTGGGGGTTGTCCGCGTGGCACCGCACCGTGGCGTTGTTGTCCGCGGCCTTGGGCCGGAACGTCAGCACGGACCAGGCCATGGTCTCGTTGTCGCGGGTGTCAACCTGGAAAAGAAGAAGGTCACGCTTGAATGGGGCCGACGGCGGCGCGGCTTGCAGTGGCGTGCCACTCGCCGGGGAAAAGATGTCGCACCGCTCGACGGGCCGGCAGGCCGAACACTTGGGCGGAATCTGGGGACCTTATCGTGTTCAACGGACTTAAGAGCACGGTGGGTCGGCCTAAAGCAGGGGCAGTCGGTTGATATGAAACTAAGTGCTTTGAAAATAGAGCAGCAAATAAATCACGAGAGCAGTGTTCTGCCCGCCTGAACCGGCCTCCGGACCACTGTGCGGCGTGGATCAACACACAAAGGGACTCCATCTAGCACTCCGTCGAATGGAAAACGAAACACGCGTTGAGCATTCGCCGTGTAGGCGCTGACGTGCCTCTCTCTCCATTTTGACAAATGGACCCTCGAAGCCGGCGAAGATGATCGTGTCCACCACGACGTGGCGGGGGGAGTGGGGCCGGGCGCCCCCACACGCTCGACCCCAAGCTGCCCCTGTTGTGGCTCGGACTCGGCTGCGCACGGCCGACGAGTGGCACGGCCAGGCGCCCGGGGCCACTCGTCCGCTGACCCCAGCGCCACTGCTGGCTGGTGCTGGCGGTGGCGAAGCAGGCCCTGAATGCCCCCACGGCCCCAGCAGCCCCCGGCGGCCCCCGGCAGCCCCGCACCCAATGAGGCCCGAGTTTACAACAACGCTCTACGTGAGGCCAATCTTGAAGCAAACGCCGGGCCGGCCGGCAGGTCAACACGGCGGCGGGGCGGGGCGGAGTGGGGGGGGGGGAGACAGCTGGCGGAAAAATATGTCGGGGCGAGAATGCGGAAAGACGATGGAGGGGCGGCCGGCGCGCGCGGGGCCGCGCTGTGCAGCGCCGTGCTTCCGGCCAAGCAGTGCCCCAACGACGTACCTGAGCACTGATTCGGTACCCCCAGCGGGGCCTGGGGCGCCGGAGCCCCCTCGGCCCCACTCTGTCTCTCTCGCACCACCACCACCACCACCACCTACGCACGCCTTACGGTGTGGGAGCGACACAGCACTCGGAATCGGTTCCCTGGCCGGATAAGGCGAGGGGCTTTTGTTGGACACGCGGGCCGGACTGAAGGACCGAACGTAGACTCGGCGCGGCGCGGCAGGCCGACAGGCCGACACACCGACAGACCCACGATATCAAAAACATGTTCAACCAGCATCATCAGTCTTCCTCCACTGCGCCGAGGCTGCGCCACTATCTCCGCGCCCGAGTTCCAGGGTCCCAGTTCGCAGCTCACTTAGTCCTGCATCTCGACTCATAGTGCTGCCCTACATTTCTACTTCGTTATCCACCACGGTATATTCACACTCGGCACTCGCACACGCTGCCGCTCACACACAGGCACACATGTACACACGCACACACTAACACGCACAGAGGAGCGCACACACAGGCACACATTGTCGCTCGTACGGCACTCAAGGGACTCCGCGGCAAAGTTGAGGAGCACGGGGCCGCCGCGGCGCCCCGCCGCGCAGCGGACATGGAGGGGAGCCAAAGAAGCACTAGCAAAAATGTCGCGCGCGGCGTCTCTAACCGGCAGGGCAAGGTCAACGAGGCAAGCACACCGCTAAAAATAAATTGCTCAGGAAGGAACAGGGGTGAATCGTTGGTCTGGCGCGTTGGGGACGAGGGAACCTGGAACGCCTTCGCGCCTCGCCTCTCACTCGCGGTCCCGTTGTGTCTGGCCCTCCGCGTGGGCTGGCGTGGCTGTCCCGTCTCGGTTGAGGCATCGCGTGGCAATTTGATTCCCGGCAGTGATGACGTCTCTGCGCGGCAGTCATTGAGATGTTTGTCGCGCCGCGTCGCGTCGCGTCTGCTGTCCCTGATTGCCCTTGCTGCCAATTTATTTTCTGCCTCTGAGTCTTGATGAACTTTTTCAAGAAGTTCTTCCTTTTTTTCGGTGACTGCTACGCGCTACGCGTCACTGCGAACCGTGCCCACGGCGGGCCGATCAAACACGGCCTGGCACACTGCGATACAATTAGCCGAGAGCACACCTCATCAAGGTGAGGCCGGAACGGAAAATTACTATTAACTGAGCAAATACACCAAGGGGGTTGAGAATTTGTGTAAATTGGAGCCATTTGCGGGCGGACCAATTATTCCGCAGCGCGACGGAGAGGGAGGGGGCGCTCCTTACACGAGTCCTGGATTCAATCCCAGTCATGACCCGGGGCCGGTGGCGTGGCGGGGCGGCGCGGGGCGGCGCAGGGCCCGTCTGCTCCTGATACATTTTCCAGTTCAACTTCAAAGAAAACGACACCCTCGGGGTCCGGACCTGCTGCCCTGCAGAAGTGGCTGAGTGCGACCCCGGCCGGGGCCTGGGGCCCGGGGGCAGCAGGGGCCAGCCAGGGGCGCGTGTCGGAGCGTGGCGGGGCGTGTCGGGCCGGGCGGGGCGGGCCTCTGCCAAGAAGGGAGGGGTGGCTCCAACTTTGGGGGCAAGTTCCGCGGAGTGCGTTTGCTGACGCTGCAGCAGGCGATGGCCAGCCGGCCCAGCGAGCCAGCCTCGCCACTTCCGAGCCGCGCGTCGAATCGTTGCTGATGACGCACTCGCGCGCCACCTGTAGTCTCGTTCCGTCTCCCTCGCCCCCCTCCCGGCCACCGTGAGAGCGACAGAGAGGCAAACTTACGTGCGGCGCGCCGAAGTGCTGCTCGTCGCGGCCGGCGTGGCGCGTCTTCCACCACGTGACCACGGCCTGCGGCCGGCTGCCCACCGTCACGCACTCGAAGCGCACCTCCTCGTCGGCGGGGATGTGCGCCGGCCGCGGGTACAGGCGCACGGACAGCGGCTTCACTGTAAACAACCAGGAAAGTCTCAATTTTGCTGCCAGGAAAGCCCGGAAGGCGTTCCCGGAAGGAGGCACTCACGCTTGAGGTCGAGGCGCACGTCCTGGTGGCGCGGGTCGATGAGCCTGGTGTTGGAGGCCTGGCAGCGGTACGTGGTGTTGAGGTGCGTGCGCGACACGCGGTGCACGTCCAGGCGGTTCACGATCACCTTGGGCGTGCTGGCGTCCACCACGCCGTCCATCAGGCGCCCGTTGGCGAACCACGTCACCGTGGGCTCGGGCCGACCTGCCGACCGACAGCGAGAGTCAGTACCAATGTTCAGGCATACGTGTGGTCTAGCCCTTAATGGTAATGGTAATGGCTGGGCCTGCCCGCAGAGCACACGTGTTCGACGGGCTAGTCTATGCGTCCGTTCGCAGGGGCCGTGGGCCGCGGGCCGGCCGTACCACTGTAGGCGGGGCCTCAATATTCAAGCGGCGTCAATCCGTAATCCGTGGTCTGGCCGCGAAGGACCGGACACTGAGTGGAAACATTGAATAAGGCACAAGCGAGCGGCTTCTTGGGGTAGCTCGCGCAGACGCCGCATTGTCTCCGTGTGCGATGGGGCCGAGGAAGACAGTGTGGTGCCCCACTCGACGATCGCACCACGCCAACCTGTCCATCTGCATTCTCCGTTCTCCGCAAAGAGCTTCGAAATCAACAGCACGGAGGTTGCTCGGGTGAAATCAAGACTGTGAGACGCGACACATCAGGCTTCGGTCCTCCGACTTATCCACACGTGCTTCGGTTTCCCGTAGGACTTGGATTTCCGTCGCTTGCTTCTCTTCCGCTGCAAGTCTCCTTGAGACACTCGAAGCTAAGCGACTCATTTTCTCGGTTTCTCTTTCTCCCCGGAAGTAGCACTTGCAGTGCGGCAGTTCATACCTCCGGAGGCAAGAAACGGCGGACGGACGTCCCTGGCGACGGTCCAAGGGGCCTCCGCCCCCCCCCCTCTCTCCCTCCCACATGGGGTGCCACGTGAGTGCGAGAGAGACAGACACGTTAACCCATTAGGCCTCCGCCTTATCTCCGGCGACAAGAACGCGGCGGCCATTGGGGCTCCAATATTCAAAGCGCGAGGCCGTTCCAGTGGCGCGAACAGGGGCTCTCTGTCTCTCTCGCACCCGTACCGGACGTCCGCACGCCGCATGAGTGCGAGAGAGACGGCGAGTCTGCCGGCGGGAGAGGCCACGCGCCGCGTTCGCACAATCGACGGCGCAAAAAGAAGCAGGACACAGACGAGTAGTCTGGATCCGAATGTGTCGCTCTCTCTCTCTATCTCCCCAGTGGCGTGCCGTGGGAGTGCGTGAGAGACAGAGCGGCGAAAGCGAGGTACTTGAGACTACAGAGAACTCCCCGGCGGCCCTTTCTGCCTCAGCGGGGCCAGGTTCAAAGCGAAGGGCATGGCGATGGCGGCACTGCAGGTCTGGGCGGGGCATCCCTGGGTGAGGCGCCCATGGGCGACCAATGGTCCGTCCATACTGCAACCTTAGACACCCATGGTGAATCCATTGGTGCCTATGGTCGTGAAGGGGTGACCATGGTCGATCCGTGGACAGGCCATGGACAATCCATGGTTGGCCCATGGGTCACCCATTACAAATGGACAACCAATGGTCATCCTCAGACGGTCCATGGACGGCCAATTGACAATGACTTCCTCGTGCATCTAAGTCTCCAAGTAATTTTCACAAAGTCCTTTTAACTTTTGAACCGTTAGTCCGAAACAAAATCTGAATTTAGAATTGAGTGAAGCGCGAAAAGTTCATGTAGAGCCTACCATGTTATTCTGACTTGGAAAGACTGCTTAATAGTGGGAGGACTTTGCCAGAGCAATATGCAGCCAGTGTGGACCCTCCATGGGCCGTCCATGGACTGTCCATAGATATCCGCTTTCAATTTCCCATGGACCGCCCATGGATCGCCCATGGGCGCCTCACCCAGGGATTATACTCTCGTGACCATTGACTCCCAGGAGTACACCATCCCTAGGGACAGAGTACTCTCCCCTTAGGGAGAGTACACCATCCCTAGGGGTAGTGTACTCCCCTACCTCGAGAGGGGGGGAGTACATTGACCCTAGGGATAGTGTACTCCCGGGGGTACACTATCCCTAGGGTCAATGTACTCCCCCCCTCTCGAGGTAGGGGAGTACACTATCCCTAGGAATAGTGTACCCACCCTAAGGGGGGCGTACACTGTCCCTAGGGATAGTGTACTCCCCCGGGGGAGTACACCATCCCTAGGGCCAATGT